ACATGTGTTTATATTTCAGATGAATTAAAAGACCTAAGTGATGTTATAATAAAAAACACATATTCACTCATCTTACTCCCTCCTCCAATGCTCCAGTTCAGTCAGATGGAGTGACTTAATTATTTGTGTGTAATGTAGCAAAATATGTTGGAACTACTATAATAATAGATTTTCTAGAATTTCCATAAAAATCTCTTTCAAGAGTTTCTCGTTTATGATAAATTTCCATTTAGTCAAGTTTATCTAAAGTTACTGGGGTCATAACTTTCATGGAAATCTAGGGTTTCATTTGTGAAAATTCTGGGTCTTCTTTCAAAGATGAAAAATCCATGCTGTCGTGTTCTCCTTTGTGTTGAAAAACTTTTTTGTATGTTATGTGACCAGAGACTAAGCCAGAGCAAGAATGAGAAGACTGGAGCAAGTCAGAATTTGGTTGTTGATGGAAAGCTTCCCTCTCTTTTAAATGTTGGGTGGCAAAAACCTTGCCTGTGTTTATCTACATTCTGTCATGTTAAAAAATACTTTGAAAGGGGTGCCTGGGTGCTCAGTTGGTTAAGCATGCAACTCTTGATCTTAAGCTCAGGTCATGATCTCAGGGTTGTGAGATCAAGCCCCATATCAGGCTCTGCACTGGGTTTAGATTCTTCTTAAGATTCTCTCGCTCTGGGACGCCTGGGTGGCTCAGTTGGTTAAGCAGCTGCCTTCGGCTCAGGTCATGATCCCAGAGTCCTGGGATCGAGTCCCACATCGGGCTCCTTGCTCGGCAGGGAGCCTGCTTCTCCCTCTGCCTCTGCCTGCCATTCTGTATGCCTGTGCTCGCTCTCTCTTCCTCTCTCTCTCTCTGATAAATAAATAAAATCTTTAAAAAAAAAAAAAAAAAAAAGATTCTCTCGCTCTGTCCCTCCCCGCACCACACCCCCTTCCTTCTTCTCTTAAAACAAAACCTATGAAAAAAATTATAAATGTTAATTTGTCCTATTCATGATATTTCACCAGTTTAATTTATTCACAGTGAAAGAGCTTTTATCAAAAAAATGATCATATTACTACTACTAGGATTTTTAGCTATGTAGTATTATCTGTGCCTTTTACTTCTCAGTTATAAATCTCAGGCCTAAAAATATACATAAATTTTTTCTGTTTTTGCATTTATCAGTATTCTGTCTAAGACATTTTGACAGGTGATTAGAATAAAAAATAATAGCCGAATGTCTTTGCTTTTCACAAGGGGTTGAGACACGAGTCACATTCCTTATTAATTGCTGGTAAAGGGATATCATTGATACCAGCATCCTAATATGTCACTTTGGCAGTTTCTAGGAATCAGCTGAATTTCATTACTATTAACTGTGGGTAGACATTGGGATCCCTTTTATGCTACTCACATGGGTGAAAATTGGTGTGGAAAACTGCAGGCTGCAGGTGTCTAGTGGGCCTTCTAAGTGTGGGAATCCTCCCTGCCGAGGATCTCTGTTCATGCTTTAGTCTGACTTTCATTTTACTTTATTTTGAAATAAGATAATTTTATTTCATTGGTTTTGCTTTATATGAAAGTTCACTAAAAGGTGATTTTAAGTGTTTAGGAAAATTATCACTAGGGTATGGAGTTGCCAGATTTGGGTGTGTGGCCTGGGAGGGCACACACACATTCTTGCAGGACTCCCAATATGTCTGAAATATTGCATGGGACATACTTATACTAAAAAATTATTCATCTGAAATGCAAATTTAACTAGATATCCAGCATTTTATCTGGCATACCTACTAGTGTAAGTTATCATTTATCATCCAAACCAGCACACTTTTGAGAGTGAAGTAGGGCTCTTTAAATAATTATGCCAGGACAGTGGTATAATTAATAAATTGGGGCTATCCCAGGAAAACTATAAAGTATTACCAATTTAATTATAGGGAGTTTTGAAAGAATTTTTAATTATTGGTTTTAGATTTTCATAAATAATCACAACTTAAAGACAAAGTTAATGGCATAAACTTATATAGCCATGAATTTTTATAAGTAAAGAGTATTGCTTTATAATTTTATATTAATAATTTGATTAAGTCATCTTTTTTTTTCAAGATTTTATTTATTTCTTTGACAGAAAGAGATCACAAGTAGGCGGAGAGGAAGGCAGAGAGAGAGAGAGAGAGAGAGAGAGAGGGAAGCAGGCTCCCCGCTGAGCAGAGAACCTGATGCGGGACTCGATCCCAGGACCCTGAGATCATGACCTGAGCTGAAGGCAGAGGCTTAACCCACTGAACCACCCGGGCGCCCTGATTAAGTCATCTTAAAAACTATCTGACCTCATTGGTAGCTTCAACCTTGACACATGATTAAAGTTCTCTTTTCTGGGAGGGTAGAGGGGAAGAGTTTGAGAAGAAGAATTGGTTTTGTTGTTGTTGTTTTTTTTTAAGTAAATTCTACTCCCAACGTAAGGCTTCAACTCACAACCCCCCAGATCAAGGGTTGCATGCTAGCCAGCCAGGTGCCCCAGAATGGTATTTATTAAATACCAATTTTAAAGAGAAAGTTCTCTTACCTTGTGAGTAAAATGAAGCTACCACTAGTACATGAACTTCACAGTTTAAAAATATTTTATTTTTTTTTAATATATGTGTTCTTTACCATCAGCAGTTATAACTTAAGAGGAGAAATTCCATGCATTTTCTGTCTTGTATTTGGCTTAAGTCTTCTCTTCTAACCAATTTACTTACTATTTTTTGGGATTTAGTAAATAACCTGTCACTCACATTTAGCTTACCCTTCTTAATTGTATAGCCTTTATCATCTTCCCTTGTTCAACCTACCTAACCTCATTCAGCAAATCCATCCATCAGTATGTGCTACATGACAACCACTCTGCTGAATGTCACAGTAAGTGTGACGTGGAATGGAACTGGTCCTGTCCTCAAGCTGCTGAGAGTCTGCACTTGATGTGGTAGTTTCTCCACAGCTTTGTGTATTTCAGAGTGTCCTTCCTGGGTTTTAGCCGTATGCGTCTTTTGAAATGGGACGATTAGTATGTCAGAAATAAGTGTACCATGGTTTTGAATAGGAGCTGTATGTTGTCTTATGCCAGCATTTGTTCTGCTAATGCACAGGATTTTATTGGAGTTTTAGCTACATTAGTGAGATGTGTTCAGGAAACAGCTAATAACTGCTAGATAATTTTTCTGTGTTATAATTTATGTATCAAAATGAAAATGTATCAAAGCTCAATATATTTGAACTTCCTGGAACCTTTGAGCAATGACTTGACTCAGATAACAGTTTCCCAGATTGTTTTACCTTTAACGAGATTACTGTCTGGTTTCTCTAAAGGAAAAATTTTCTTTAAAAGTATTTTCTTGCTTTTATTATTTTGAGTGTCAACAATTGTTTTATATTATATATATTATATATTTTATATATATTATATATATTTTATATTATAATGTTAATTATTTAAAAATGTAAATATTTTCCATTGTCCTATTGTGTTATCTTGAAAAGATAAAAGATTATCTCTACTATATACTTACATGGTAAAAGTTTATATGATATAAAAGCATATATAGTGCAGTCATCCCTGTCTCCCAGTCAGCCATTTTCTTCATAACCAGTTTTTTTTTTTCATAACCAGTTTTTTATTAGCATTTTGTATATCCTTTCAGAGATTGCATGTACAGATATCATATATATATAATATATATATTTATATATATATATACTCCTTTTTCTTTTCACATATAGTAACATGCTTTTTTCACATAAACCTATATCTTGGAGATTACTCCTTATCAGAACCTAAAAAGCTATATCCTCTTTTTAACAGCTGCATAGTATTCTGTGTTATAGGGCCCCTACTAATCACTTTTTTATTGTTTACTATTTTATACAGTGCTTCATGAATAGCTTCATAACATACCTCATTTTGTACATATGCAGCTCAGTTAGCATGAATGTGTGTATCATTCCAAGAAGAAGAATTGCTGGGTCAAAGTGCATTCATGAATACTTGCATGCCTTATTTTTCTTTAGTCTAAAGGTAATATGTGTTTGTGGTAAAACTGAAAACATTTCAAACATTACTGAAAAGAATAAAATGAAAACTAAGTTTCCGAAGCTCTAGTCCCACTTCCTAGATGTAACACTTTCTTGTCTTGTGATTATCAATTTGCCTGATTTTTTTTCTTTTTTTTTTTCGACATAAATGGCTTTATGATATTTCACTATATGGATATATCATATTTTATCCATTAAGTTCCTCGTTGGTGGACATATAAGCTGTCTCTAGATATTTTTTGATAATAGTGAATTTACAGTGAAAAACCTTATAGGTATATCTTTGCATATATATCATGAGTTCTATTGAATAGATTCCTAGAATCAAGGAACACATGCATTTAAATTTTTGATTCATTTTACTAACTGCTCTCCAAAAAGATAGTTCCATGTGACATTTTCACCATTATATCCTTGCTAACTATAGCTGTTAACAAACTTTTTAATATTTACCAATTTAGTAAGGGACAAAGAATAATCATATTCTTATCTGAATTTCTTGTATTATGATTGATTTTGATAAACTGGTTGTTTCTGTTAATTTTCTGTATATTAGTATTTGTGTCCTTTATCCATTTTTGTTATGGGTTCTTCACTTTATTATTAATTTGTAAATGTACTCTTTTACTGGGAAATTAGTCTGTGAGCATGCATGTTACCAATAATTTTTTTTCAGTTTTTCATTTTTTACCATGTATATGGTCTATTAAATATACACAGTTTGACCCTAAAGAGATGAGGAGGAAGGTGCGGAGTGGGGAGAATGAATTAGTGGAGAATCCAGAGCAAACTACTCAACACTTTTTAAATAAAGAAAATAACATGAAAGAAATAATACAATGTTTTTAATCTCTTCGGAGGAAAGATATAAATAAAAGATCATACAATATCTAGTTTGTATGAAGTGTAATAACCATGCTACAGATATATTTGTTGTTTATATTTTTCCCTCCAGAGGTTTTATCAGCTATGATTAGTGTGCTGTTGGTGTATGTACTTATGGGATTCCTCCTATATGAAGCTGTCCAAAGAACTATCCATATGAAATATGAAATAAATGGAGATATAATGCTCATCACTGCAGCGGTTGGAGTTGCTGTTAATGTAATGTAAGCTTTATTTTAAAGAAAAGTATAAAAGCTTTATTTTTTAGAATAGTTTTAGGTTCACAGCAAAACTGAGCAGAAGGTGCAGAGATTTCCTGTATACCTGCTGCCTTCACACATGCATAGCCTCCCCCATTATGAACGTCCTCCCTCAGAGTGGTACGTTTGTTACAGTGGATGAACCAGCATTAACACATTACCCCACAATATCCCTAGTTTACAGTCGGGTCCATTCTCTTGGTGTTGTACATTCTGTGGGTTTGGACAATTTTATGATGATATGTATGTACCATTATGGTATCATATACTGTATATTGTTTTCAATTAATATTTTATTAATTTTTAATAAATTAATATTTTTAAGTTCTGTGAACTTATAGACTATTGTACATGCATTCACTAATGTGCAGTGGTATCTTTATGTATCTTAAAATTATACGTTATATTAATTTTTCTTAAAAATATTAGTAAAACATTGATGGAATTCTAAATTCCTCATTAGTTTGCTCAGTTATACTGAAGTTTGACAAATAATTTGGAATTTAAGTGGGACAAAGTTTTTTTTCTTTTATTATAATCAACAAGACTTTTTTAAACTACAAACTTTTTCCCTAAAAGCTATGACATTTTTAAGTTATATACTTATTTGGACCAGCAGTCAGAAAACTTTTCTGTAAAGGGCCAGATAATAACTATTTTAGGCTTTGAGAGCCATGTAGTTTCTGTCACAACTGCTCAACTCTACTGTTAGAGAACAAAAGCAGGCACATTTAATACGTAAACAAATGAGCACTGCTATGTCCCAATAAAACTTTATTTACAAAAACAGGCAGCGGGCCACATATGGTTTACAGACTGTGGTTTGCTAATCCCTGCCCTACTGGCTTCCATTCCTATTAAAATAAAATCAGTCCTTACCACAGCCTTTTTTTTTTTTTAAGATTTTATTTATTTATTTGTCAGAGAGAGAGAGGGAGAGAGCAAGCACAGGCAGACAGAATGGCAGGCAGAGGCAGAGGGAGAAGCAGGTTCCCTGATGAGCAAGGAGCCCGATGTGGGACTTGATCCCAGGACGCTGGGATCATGACCTGAGCCGAAGGCAGCTGCTCAACCAACTGAGCCACCCAGGCGTCCCTACCACAGCTTTTTTAACGAAATCCTGTGTGCCTTTCTAACTCATACCTTAGCATTCTTGCTCAGTTTATTTATTTTTAAAATTTATTTATTTATTTATTTGTCAGATAGAGCAAGAGAGTGCACACAAGCAGGGAGAACAGCAGGTAGAGGCGAGAGCAGGCTCCCTGCTGAGCAAGGAGCCCTATGTGGGACTCAGTCCCAGGACCCTGGGATCATGACCTGAGCCAAAGTCATATGCTTAACAGACTGAGCCACCCAGGCGTCCCTTCTTAATCACTTTAGTCTAGCCACAATGGCTGTCCTGCTTTTTTGAAACACATAGAGCACATTTTCATCTAAGAGCCTTTGCCCCGGTATTCCTTCTGCCTAGAGCACCACCACATGCTGCTTCCTGACTTGATCCAAGTCTCTGCCCAGAAGGAATCTCAGGCCTCTGACAGATTACACTCCCCCAGCACTCTCCATCCCCTCACAGCGCTTTACTTCCCTTCAAAACATTTGCATTGGGGCGCCTGGGTGGCTCAGTGGGTTAAGCCTCTGCCTTCAGCTCAGGTCATGATCCCAGGGTCCTGGGATCGAGCCCCGCATTGGGCTCTCTGCTCAGCAGGGAGTCTGCTTCCTCCTCTCTCTCTCTCTGCCTGCCTCTCTACCTACTTGTGATCTCTGCCTGTCAAATAAATAAAATCTTTAAAAAAAAAAAAAAATTTGCATTGCCTGGCAGTATATTATGTATTTATCTGTTTACTTCTCTGCCTTCTCTACCGGAACATAAGCTCCATGGGGATAGGAATATGTCTGTCTTATTCACTGTTTTTTTGTTTTTTTAAGATTTTGTTTATTTATTTGACAGAGATCACAAGTAGGCAGAGAGGCAGGGGGTGTTGGGGGGGGAAGCAGGCTCCCTGCTGAGCAGAGAGCCCAATGTGGGGCTCAATCCCAGGACTCTGAGATCATGACCTGAGTCGAAGGCTGAGACTTAACCCACCAAGCCACCCAGGTGCCCCTTATTCACTGTTTTGATGCCAATACCTAGAACAGTACCTAATACATAATAGGTGCTCATATATATATTAAATGAATGAGTTCCATGTTGCCTCATTAGTGTCTGATTCGTAACAAATCCTTTTATCAACAATACTAGGAAGAATAATAATGTTTTCTTTTATTTTTGACAGAATGGGTTTTCTGTTGAACCAGTCTGGTCACCACTCCCATTCCCACTCCCTGCCTTCAAATTCTCCTACCACAGGTTCTGTGTGTAGACACAACCATGGGCAGGACAGCCTGGCAGTGAGAGCTGCGTTTGTACATGCCTTGGGGGATTTGGTACAGAGTGTTGGTGTACTAATAGCTGCATACATCATAAGATTCAAGGTAATATGATTGCTACTTTTTCTATTTTAAATTATATTTAATTTCAATATTAAGAATATTAACATAATTGTGTTTTATCAGTATACTGGATACCAAAGCCAGTCTTACTCATTTTGCATTTAGGTAGGCTTAATTGAGCCATCAGTATAGCTCTTTTGCTAGCACTAAACACAATAGTATCATTTCACAGAGTAGCTGGTCTGTAGCTGGCTTCTGGACTGCCTTCACTGGAGAACTCAGTTTTTTGTTTTTGTTTTTTTTTTTAATTTTTTTTTTTTATTATTTATTTATTTGTCAGAGAGAGAGAGGGAGAGAGAGCGAGCACAGGCAGACAGAATGGCAGGCAGAGGCAGAGGGAGAAGCAGGCTCCCTGACGAGCAAGGAGCCCGATGTGGGACTTGATCCCCGGACGCTGGGATCATGACCTGAGCCGAAGGCAGCTGCTCAACCAACTGAGCCACCCAGGCGTTCCGGAGAACTCAGTTTTAAGCCATGTCACTGAACTGCTAGGTACTGGAATGTACGCTGGACTAGAAATCCAGAGACTGGGGTTCTAGTCTTGGCTCTGCTGTTAATGCTTTGACCTTGAGCAAGTCCCTCCTCCTTTGTAGGAGAGGCTTAGACCAGATATGTGGCTGCTAAAAGTCCTTCCAGCTCTGATATTCTATGGTTCTGGGTGGAAGATTTAGAGAAGGCACGGAGGAAAACAATAGAACAAATGATTAAACTTCTGGAAATAGGTCTTAGAAGAAAAGGCAAAAAAAAAAAAAAAATTTTTTTTAAACAATCTAGGAAAGAGTGAAGATGTTTCTCAATCGCAGTATTCAAAAATAAAGGTATTCTTTAGTTCTGGTATAGAAGACTAAAGAACAGGGTACAGAGTATTGCTTGTTTTGCTTTACAGTCTGTTTTACGTTGGTCTATATTTAATCACACAATTTTGGTCTGTTACCTTTCAGCCAGAATACAAGATTGCTGATCCCATCTGTACATACGTGTTTTCATTACTTGTGGCTTTTACAACATTTCGTATCATATGGGACACAATAGTTATAATACTAGAAGGTAAGATCTCACTTTCATATCCCCAGTGTGGGTTTCTTACCTCCCTTAATCAGATTGGGGGTGGGGGGCATTCTAGAGTAAGAGTCATGTCTTTTCCTTTCTCTTTACTGATGCTTATTAGGCTATGGTTAAACCACTTCATGTGTATATTGATGTACTCTTCCCTCTGTTACCCATTTGATCCTTACAATAGCTAAGAAAGGTAGGTAGGATGGACATTATCCCCACTTACCAACGAGGAAATTGAGCTTCAGAGGGGTTATATAACTTGCTTACTTAAGGTAATGCTGCTAATAAACTGTGGAGTGAGGACAGAAATACAACTCTTGATTCTTGGTATAATTATGTTTAGTGGTTTATTCACTCTTTAATTACCATTTAACTTGCTACTTTGTTATATTTTCAACATCCCTACTTACTGATCCTATGACTGAGTGTGTAAATTCTCCACACCAGGTTCATCATCATTGGATATTCCCTTTTTTCCCTTTTTTTTGTGTATCCCAGCTTATTTGTTAAAGGAAGTATTCAGATTTGATACTTCTTTTTAGCAAGAATGAACATTCTAAAAATTATTAACCTCTTATACATATCTTGCTTTATGTGTGCATGGTTTATCTTAAGGTATTAAGATATTTTAAAGTGTCCATTTAAAGTGAATTTGGTAAAGCCATTTGGTTTCTTTGGGGAAAAACAAAAAGTTCTATCAGTAATGTATAACTTTCTTCCCCAAAATAAACTTTACTTATAAATGATATATTCTGAACTAATAGGTGTACCAAGCCATTTGAATATAGACTATATCAAAGAAGCCTTGATGAAAATAGAAGATGTATATTCCGTGGAAGATTTAAATATCTGGTCTCTCACTTCAGGAAAACCGACTGCCATAGTACACATACAGCTAAGTATGTTGCTGACAGTAAATGCTGGGGTTGATGGACTTTAGTATTAAACATCTGTGCTTATAATTAAGTAGGAGGACTTTTCTGCTGTAAATATTTGCTTTAAGGGGAGGGACCAGGCTTTTCAAAAGGTGAGTGACAGATCAGTAACAACAGCAGAGCAATAATTTTTGATCTCTGAGACTTTTTTTTTTTTAAGATTTTATTTATTTGAGAGAGAGAGAGAGAATGCACAGAGGGGCAGAGGAAGAGGGAGACTGCTGAGCAGGGAGCCTGGGAACATGACCTGAGCCAAAGTCAGACGCTTAACCAACTGAGCCACCCAGTCACCCCTAAAATGAGACGTTACAAATTGATTTTTGCCTTCAGATTAAGGCATGAAGAATATTTACCATCCTTTTTCTACATAAGAAAACCTGTTTTTATTTCTTAAAGTCATTTCACAGATTGATGCTTTTTATTTATTAAAGTAATATGCAGGGGCGCCTGGGTGGCTCAGTGGGTTAAAGCCTCTGCCTTAGGCTCAGGTCATGATCCCAGGGTCCTGGGATTGAGCCCCGCATGGGCTCTCTGCTCAGCAGGGAGCCTGCTTCCTCCTCTCTCTCTGCCTGCCTCTCTGCCTACTTGTGATCTCTGTCTGTCAAGTAAATAAATTAAAAAATCTTAAAAAAAAAAAAAAAAGATAAAGTAATGTGCATATGGGTTTATGTTTTTAAAAAAGGGAAAAGACTTAATGTCTAGTATTCTTTCTCTACCTGCGAGTGGACTGGAGGGATTGAAATATGAGAAGGCATCCTGGCTTTGGAGACTGGTGTACTTCTCTAACAGAGTAGCTTCAAGAGGGGAGAAATCAAACTACTAAAAATAGGTTCGCTGTATGCTGAGTTTGTTATTCCCCTATGTCATTGTAACTATGTACAATGAGTAGTAATGGTATTTTCTTGACATTGCAGTTCCTGGAAGTTCATCTAAATGGGAGGAAGTACAGTCCAAAGCAAAACATGTATTATTGAACACATTTGGCATGTATAAATGTACTATTCAGCTTCAGAGTTACAGGCAAGAAGTGGACAGAACTTGTGCCCACTGTCAGAGTTCCAGTCCTTAACTTTATACGTTTTCGGGACTACTGCCTTATTTATCCTGCAGTCACAGACCTGAGAGCAATAAATGCGCACACCTGAATGAGACAATGGAATCCCTGCCAGCTGTGTCCATATCAAGCATGGGTCTCTCAGAACAATCACTCCAGCTGGACAGTGCTAGTTTCTGTTTAATGGTAAAATGAGACTTCACCCTGACTTTCAGAGGAAGATGTTTCCAACACTATTTACAGAATAAGATGTGACTCTACAGATACCTCAAAGAAGACAATCCAAGACCACACTTCATTAATTATGACAGAGTACATGTCTTAAAGGAAGCATCAAGAATTCAGTATTTGCATTTAAAAATCCTTTTTAAAGACCATTTTTTATCAAGCCAGTGCTGGAAAACTGAATTTTTTTTATTATGTAATCTTGACATCCAGCGTCTGGAATTTGACACCCAGCTCTCTTTTTACAGAAATTATTTCTCAGCAGATTTCAGAAAGTACTAGACGTTATCCAGAGAGTGGAATAAGCATGTATTCCCATGTTTCAGAAATGTTTTATTTCACAAATAACTTAATGTTATTATTATAGTTATACTTTATAAACAGTTTTTGCCAGATGTTATGGGATTTTGCATCTCAAAGTTAACATTTTGGGTTATTTGCAATCTTGATCAGAACTAAATCTTTACATATTGTGATCATTGTCATGAGGATTATTTAGGAAATATTTTCAGTACTATTCTGAATGGCAGAAGTTCATCTTAAACTCCAGTTATGATATGATCATGTAAAACAAAATACAGGAGTAAGGATGGAGTGTGGAATGTCAGATTTAAGTCTTCCTGAAATCACTTTTATTGTTCATGGAATTATCTTTACTTAAGACTAGGAGGAGACTGCAAAATGTGAACAGTGATCCTCTGTCCTTTCAAGAACTGAAAGTTTGCTTGGTACCTTGCTTCTGGCCTCCTTATCAGTCAGTTTGTGCCCTTTCAGGGTAAAACTCTGGAGGACTAAGGGTCAGTTTGTAATGCCCATCTTTCAGATGTGTATTAACCACATTCCTCCAGAGAGATTTTTGTTTGATTATATGAGTTAGGGATTCTCCAGGGACTCCAGAAACCCTAAGATATAATTTTGAGGTTTTCCAATAATACCATAGCAGAAATACCCAAAGAGAAAGGGAGAAGACATTATTCTGAGAAAAAAAAAAGAAGAAAGAAGAAAAAAGTCAAGGGTTTTTGACCTAGTGTTTGTGTTTTCTTAAAGCACAGGAAAAGGGGTGGACTTTCAGTCTGTGGTATGGGGAGGTTAAACATGAAACTTTCCAAAGGAATGCAACCTAATTGGTAACAGTTGTGTTAAAGAGGCAGCTGTGAATATTCACGTTCCATTTTGCAACTGTTGGTTTTGAAATTATCTTTTTGCACTTTAGGAGTCCATTTTCACAGGGACAGTTTCTTAACCAAGAATGGCTATGGATCTTGGGGTTCTCAGAGACCCAAGAGTAGCGTACAGTGTAGAACAGACAGGTTGTGTTTTGAAAGCCGACGTAAACATGCCAATGACTTACAATATCAAAGAAGGATAGGAAACAGATTTCATCTTTCTACCAAGTACCTCACTATAAGTAAACCGAAGATAAAACCTGAATTTACCTAAGAGAGGATTATGAGTTGATGGTATCCCCCCAAAAAGGGTTGAGGAGGGATAATTGTATCTAATAAAACCCAATAAGTGTTTATGGAATTGAATTTAAAATTAACTTTAGGGGATTCTTACTGTGAATCCATTTAAAATAATGATTTGAATTTTTCAAAATTTGGGTGGTATATAAACTGTTTAAATACAAATTCTCATAATAGGGAAGGCAAATAAGAATAAATGAGAAGCACTTCAGTGGACATCTGAGCATTTATGGACTTTAGGGTACCTAGCACAAGAAAGGAAAAGAATAATCATTATATGCTAATGGATTTTCACATATTTGTAGTTGTTATGTCTACTGAGCTTGTTTCTTGTAAACTTCCCTTGGTCTTGAGTAGGTATATCTTACTTTTCATATCGACCTGTCCTTGAAAATTTACTTGATAAAAGAGTCTAAAATCCACTTGAGGACTGAAAAGGAGCCTTGTGTAAAATGCAGGAAACACTGAAAACTTATGTAAATCTTAATGACTGTGTTCTATTTAAAGTGAGGTACACATGAAGTTTCCTGTCTTTGTCTTTTGTAGCAAGGATTACAGATTTTGTACTTTACTGGGTCTGTGGGACTGAGAACTGATAGATTTCACTTTTTATAATTTGACAAAACCCACAAAGGAGGATGTGAATTTAGCAGGTACGACCAGGGGACCATGGTCTGCCTCTGATAAGGAGCCTTGTGTCTGTCCCTCACCTGTTGAGCTGCAACCCTGAGTTACACCCCCAGCAAGCCCTCACAGGAAGAGTTCTCCACTGTCCTGTGACAAGCGGTGAGTATTTGTGGATAAACACCTAGTGTGGTTAATTTTGCACTGGGCAGTTTTTCAGTGTGATCTATTTTAATTAACATTTCCAAATAATCAGAGTTAACTTGTGTACATAAAACCTGTGTTTCACAACTCTGGCCAGAGGTAGCATTTTGATTTTAGGGAAAGACCTATTTTTCATTAACGACCATGCTGCCTTAGAAATCTCATGTGAGGAAGAGGGTTGAATAAAGTATCTTTCAGAGGGCTTTGAAATGCCGAACCACAAGCAAATGGAATTCGCACATACACTTTCCATTAGCTGTGCCTCGTGTAATGTGAGCCCAGATTTTCGCAGCTCTCAGCTCCCATCAGTATTGTTTGCCAAATCACAGGAGTTCCTGTTTTACTGTTTTCATTACAAATTTTGGTACTTTATTTCCATTTTCTAAAATGAATTTTCCTGCTCTTAAAAGTCTCAGTATTCTGGTTCTGTCTCTTGAACCCAGGTGTCCTCACTGACAGTGTTTGTCTTTTCAGTAGAATTTTCCCAGACTAGACACAGGCTGGATTAGACACACGAGCTTCCCTTTCATTTTAATGCGAGGAAAACCATCTTTCAGAAACAAAGTATCACTTATAAATGTATTTCTAGGTGAGGAAGAATGCTTTTTTTTAACAGCTGCTTGTTCCTGATCCAGATTTCTCTGCACACTGAACTTTAAAGAATAAGTATGATAGAAATAGGCTATACTATAACCATGAGTGAAGATCATTTCTAGTAAGACGACTCCGGGTCTTGTTTCTCAAACAACCATTATCATTACTTTTGAAGATATAGTCATTTGCTTTTGAAACAAGCACAATTAGCTAAATTTATTTTCTTTTTTCTTTTTTTTAAATTTTTAATAGCCCAGTGCAGGGATTAACTCATGACCTTGAGATCAAGAGTCAGTTGCTTAACTGACTGAGCCCCCTGGGTGCCCTAAATTAATTTTCTTTTTATGAATTTATATAAATTGGCTCACCATAATGAATAGTGTGTTCTTACAGAATTTGAGCCCCTTTGGCATAAGGTTTTAGGCAATTCTGCTGTTGACTCTACCTATAATAAATTTAAAGTTATAGAATATGTTAATAGATATAAGACTAGTTCATTTGGCTCAGTTTGTCTTTGAATCAAGCTCAGCTCATGAGCCAGTTGGGTATTAGTCACAAATGAATAGTGACATCTAGCTGTGTGCTGTGTTGAGGGGAGGTGAGTCTCAATTCCAAATGATTAAGTTTTATTTCTAACTACAGATCTGTCCTGTGAATCTTGCCAGACAGGGCATGATATTTATTTTACAGCTCACCAATCGGGGTATTTTTGCGATGTTGGCAGGAACGTGCAAATTAGAAGAAATTGTCGTGGGGGAATTCCTCAGTATTGAATTGTATATGCGCATTCAGGCCATCCTGTAATTGATTTCTCGCTTACAAAGGGTTTACGCTGTTCTTCTAATCATATTGTAAGGACCAACAAACATTTTTCTAATTTTTGTAAGACTGGAAAACATTTATGGAGACTTTACCAATTAAATCTATGACAGTGTCAATTTATAATAAGGTAATTAAGTATATTCTGATGTAACTGCAACACAAAATTGAAATGGCCAGTAGTATGTCAGCTTTGCACCTGGAAGATACTGTATATTTGGAAAGCTTTTGCTTCTCTAAAAAAATATATATGTTATTAAGTAAGCCATATCACAATTTAAGAAATTGTATATACTTTTCCATTTGCCCTTTCAGAAACCAGGTATTTTGCATATGATTGATTTTGGGAAGATTTTGAAGCTGGGGTTTGCCCACGTAATTTAAGATCAAAGTATAGTATATGTATATGTACTGTATTTGCAATTTTCAAATTGTAATTTCCTATACATTTATTAAATAAAGTATTGTTTTGCCGTGTGGTTTATTAAAAAATGAAAATATACAATCCCCCTTAAATCTCTGGTTTTTTTTTCATTGATTAAGTAGTAGTAGGCCTTAAAACAATAATAATCTTTAAAAGCATTAGAAAGTGGATTATAACCTAACTAGTTTTACCAACTCCAATGGTAATGCCCTCTTAGACGTTTAAGAAATAAACCTGAAAAAAAACCTTCCCATTAAGGAGAAAAAGATATTAAAAGAATCTGTAACTTTTTCTATCTGTCATTTTTGATATCCCTGCAGCCCCAGCAACAGTGGCAGAAAGGGAAGAGCAAGGCTCCGCTCCAGTAAGGTTGGTGCGGGCCTTTGTGAAGTCTAGGCACGCTACCTGCTGACCCTCCGGGAATGTAGACAAGGGCTCGGTCTGAGCACTGTGCCTCATGGGCCAAGTCTAGCCTGCAGCCTGATTTGTGCAGCCCAAGGAGCTCAAAATGGTGTTTATAGTTTTTAATGGCTAAAAAAAAGTCAGAAGAAGAATATGATGTGAAAATTAAGTTGAACTTTACATTTCAGTGTAGGGGGTTCAAACACAGCTCTGCTCCTTTGATCATGTGTCATCTGTGGCTGCTTTTATTCTTCAATGGCAGAGTTGAGGAGTTGGGACACGTATAACATATTTGCTATCTGACCATTTATAGGAAGTCTGTCCACCCCTGGTGTACACACTGTTGTTCTCTTTGAAGGCTATCACTTTTGGGTGTAGCAAACTTTTCCAATCTGGCTTGGACGTTTCTGAGACTGGCTAATATGAAGGTCACCTGAGCCACTAAAGGTTCTTTCCCTCCCCTTTTTTCGTTTCTATATCCTCCTTGGAGTTTGGGGCAGAAAGAGGAAAAGAGTAGCAAGATTTCAAACATTTTGTGCCATATGCCCTAAATGTTTACTAGCAAAGCAGTTTTCTACCCCAAACATCAGAATCGTTTAAGAATACTTTTCAAGGGGTACCTGGGTGGCTCAGTTGGTTAAGCATCCAACTCTTGATATCAGCTCAGGTTGTGAGTTCAAGGTGGTGAGACTGAGCCCTGCATTTGGCTCCATGCTCCGTGGGGAGTCAGCTTGGGATTCTCTCCCTTTCTGGCCCTTTTCCCTGCCCTCATCCTGCATGCCTGCATGCTCTCTCAAAAATGAGTCAATCTTTAAAAAAATACTTTCTAATATAAAGTTTTATTTACTTGATTTTTAAATTTTCACTTAAGTTATGACAAAAAAAGGAATTTAAAATGTATTTATGTCGAGTACCTTATGTAGTTTGTGCCAACTGGGAGCTCACAAGTGAAAAAAAATATTTTATCTGCTAAATAAGATGAAAATTGGGGAGTTCCTGGCTGGCTCAGTTGGTTAAGTGTCTGCCTTCGGCACAGGTTATGATCCCGGGGTCCTGGGGTTGAGCCCCACATTGGGGTCCCTGCTCAGTGGGGAGACTGTTTCTCCCTTTTCTCCCCACTTGAGCTCAGTGTTGCTGTCTCTGTTGCTCTTTCTCAAATAAAATATTTGAAAAAGAAAAGATGAAAATTGGTTATTGGGCTTTTAAAATATGTCCTCTCAATTTTCCAGTCAGGGAAAGATACATCTATTTTTGAAATATTTATGAAATATGAAAATAGATGAAAGATACATCTATTTTTGAAAATAGTAATAAAATATAGTTTAGATAAGTTGTACTAGGGAGATGTTAGATATTATTTGATTACTTATCTAGCTAGAGCTATCTAAAATGTGTCAATTTTTTTGGTCCACATCAGATGCTAAAATAAATTCTAAGCTGGGGTAAAAGCCTTACAAACTTT